TTTTTTAGAAAGCAGGATTTATTAAGAGGACAGAAAAATCCTGCTGGTAGGACCTGTAGGGGTTGCCCTAAAAAATATTTTATATGTACCCCTCATTTTTAGAAAAAAAAATATTTTTTTATAACTAGAAAAACCAAAACAACTCAAAACAAATTTCAAGCACTTGTTCCTGAGAAGGAAGAATTGCCATTACATAATATATATTAATGTCCACTTTATGCCTGTTCTATGAATATTAATTTATTTACAGAGTTCATTTTAGGGTAAACAACTCATGGTTATTTTTAAGTTAGCTTTTGTCTGTTGTGATGGGGACTCACTGATGGAATTTATTTGAAAAATTAAGAGTTTATATTGTTTTCTCCATATTTTTTGTGCTTGCTGACTGGTGATTTTCAGGATGACAAGGTAATTATAAGGTTTATAAAAATTTGTGGTAAATATTTCTATGTAATTCTAACTTTAGTTGAGAAATATCCCCTAATATATGCAATTCATGCTTTATGACCACCGTCTATTTTGGTATTTACAAATTAATTCCATATTGACTCTTTCCTATTTGGAAAGTCAGAAGGAAAACAATGGTAGTAGGTTCCAGTCTGGATCACAAAGGGTCTCCATGACTTCCAATTCATAGTCAGCTCTGTGATTCACTGCAGTAGTTCTGGCAGAAAAGCTATAAGCTGGGGATGGGAACCCTTAACTTGGGGTATACTCAGAAGCACATGCTTTCCTGAGCTCTGACTTCTACCAACCTGTGGGCTTGTTGGCTAAGGCTGAGGAGGAGTCTGAAGAGCTGCACACTATTCTTTACTGCCATGTTCATCTCCTTGAGTGTAGAGTCCATAGCCAGAAGGAAAAGTGGCTCCTGATGAAGTTGCAAAGTTGACTCTCTCTACTGTTTCAACTATTAAGTGACAGATACTGCTGGGATTTTCACATGATGAAACCCTTCTAGAGATTCTGGTTACTGGATTGGAACATATAAACTCTGAGCAGTGAGTCAGGAACTTCCCAACGCCAATGGCCCGAGTCTGGTTCCATCCCCTAAGCAGCGCTTTTTAACTAAGGTAGGCAGGATAAGGGAAGAACTGGCTGCTTGCTACCCAAGACAACAGTGCACTAAAAAATCTATCTTTCCCTTGGATTAGCTAATTAGATAAAGTCACCTAATTTTACTGAAAGTCCCAAATCATACCATGTATGTCTTCAGATATCAGAGGACATATATGGCATTGTTTTGATATAGAAACTTGGGTCTTTGAAAGTTATGACATATGAGCCTGAAAAATCTGAGTACACAAAATTTTTTTAAAATCTGTCTTTTAAAAAAAATATGAGGCCACGCTCAGTGGCTCAGCCTGTAATACCAGCACTTTGGGAGATCAAGGCGAGTGGATTGCCTGAGCCGGCAAGTTCAAGACCAGTCCGGGCAACTTGGTGAGACCTCATCTCTACAATAAATAAAAAATTAGCCGAATGTGGTAGTGTGCGCCTGTAGTTCCGGCTACTTGGAAGGCTGAGATGGAAGGATCATTGGAGCCCAGCAGGTCGCCGCTGGGGTGGCTGTGAGTGTGTCACTGCACTCCAACCTGGGCGACAGTGATACTCCAACTCAAAAAAAAAAACAAAATTGAAAATGCTCCTTTATAGAATAGAAGATATTCTTCCTTTCAGGAAAAGAGAAAAAAAATTATCTGTGAAATAGTTACTAAAATATTTACAAAACATAGCTAAAGAAATAGTATTTGTGGTATTTATAGGAAACATTTTTAAAATTCAGTAAAATATAAGCTCTTTATTAATAGCTTTTATCAGGCTATAGTTGATCTTTTCAAAGGATGCATCTATAAATTCACAAAAGGATAGCTTTAGAAGAAAAGTGATATTGTTTTTAAAGGATTTTTTTATACACAGTAAAATTTAAAAGCAAACATTTGTAAGTCTCTGGTTGGCATTAAAATTATCTTGGAACTGGTCTTTAAGATGATGGTATTGGAAGTGTATTCTATTAAGTCCACTTCATTGTAAGATCTGACTTTAGAACAGGCCATTGAGTTGTAAAGTATATTATTGCTTAGAAGGTATAGGGCAGCGATTCTTATCTCTTGCTTTGGTCTAGAAAGACAGATAGTAGCTGAACAAATGCGTTGTCAGATTTGACTGAAAGGGAAAATAAGAATGTTGGCAAAAAAGTTATTTTATTTATTTATTTAGAGTCAGGGTGACACTCTTTGCCCAGGCTGCAATCTGGGCTCGGGTTATCCTCCTGCTTCACCCTCTCAAGTAGCTGGGACTATGGGCACAAGCCATCATGCCTGTCTAATTTTTTATTCTTATGTAGAGATGAGATCTCATTGTATTACCCAGGCTGATCTTGAACTCCTGGGCTCAAGCAATTCTCCCACTTCAGCCTCCCAAAAGTGCTGGGATTATAGGCATGAGCCACTGTGCCCAGCCAAAAAAGTTATTTTCATGTGAAGTCATAAGTAATTCTAACCTGCCAGATGTTTATTTCAAAAGCTTATGTACCGTGCTATATTGTACCAGAGGAAAAAAGAATTGAGAATTGAGTAACAGCAGATGGTAGCTATTTAAAAGGAGCCAAATCTTTCATATATAGACAGATACAGATATAGATTTAGATTTAGATATAGATATGAGGAAAAAATGCTTAATTTTGCTGAAGCATATCATCTGCACACCACCTTCTTTGAACTGTTTTTATTGGAAAAATGAGCTTTATGTCAAACTTTAAGCATTTTATTAGGGCATTGGTTTCATTCAAACTGGTCAGGAAGTAATAGAAAGAATGGCATTGTACATTCCATTAAATAGTTGACTGGTTATTTTCCTAATGCTGTATATACCATATTATGCACCATATACTTTGTACAAAACACATATATGTGGCATATTTTCACATAATGTAAAAGAAGCATAGCCCATCAGGGATTTTATTTACAGGGTGGTGGTATTCTAGAATCTTACCACCTTGTAGTAGAGTGTTAGGGGTTCTCAAGAGAGAAACTGAAGTTTCCGCTTTTCTCTTAACCACCTGAGTCAAACTGTCTTCTACATGCACAGGGCTGGGGCTGATGCTCTAATGGAGCACAGGTGTGGTGGAGCACACCTAATAGAAAGACATATGTTGGCCATATAAGTGGCTCAGTGCTTTTGAGTTGAATCTTAATGTGGAAATATGTCATTTCTCCCCTCAGAATACAATGACAGATTCTACAATACTTTTGGAAGATGTACAAAAAATGAAAGATAAAGGTGAAATAGCACAAGCCTACATTGGTTTGAAAGAAACAAACAGGTAAGTTGATCCTTCTTTTATTCATTTTGGTTTAATTATATTTATGTTAGCCTTTAAGCCAGTCTTTTGTACAGTAAGCCAAAGTGTTTATGCATAGCTTTATTAGACATCAACTGGTTTTCAAAGGGAATCCAAGGTTTCTAATGTATTCCCAATTAAAATCCCATTTATTATAAAAGGTAGTATTATTGATGAAAGGTGTCAGGGAAGATATTATTTACATCAAGGGAAGATATTTCTGTATGTTTAGGGTCTTAGCCTTGGGGGGCTGCCTTAAGAGGAAAATCAGCTGCTCAGTTTGGACTGTCTTAGATAGTCACTTTCATTTATTATTCAGGATGACTATTTGTGAAGGTTTATAAGGCAACTGTAACTTTCAATAATTGAAACTTGGTGTAAAGAGAATGAAGAGGCAGCTGAAATCACATCAGTGTTGTCCATGTAACTAATCATTTTGTGGGACTAGGATGTGGAGAAGTTTAGGGTGAAGATGATCAGTAGACTGACACATAATGAATTTAAGGAGCCAGGAAGGCATCCTAGGAAAAAAATTTATTGGACAATTTAATACATAGACCTGTAGTCAGGAGAGATGTGTGAACTAACGTACAAATTTTGAAGTTGTCAGAGTATAACATATAAGTGTTGGCCATGTAACCACATAACATGTAACTAAGAGGAGACCATGTACAACTGGCCCTCCATATCCATGGGTTTCGCATTTGTGGATTGAACCAACCAAGGATTGAAAATATATTTTAAATGACATCTCTTCCTGACATGTATAGACTTTTTTTCTTCTTATTCCTTAATGCAGTACAACAACTATGCACAGCATTTACACCGTATTACATAATATAAGTAACCTAGAGATGACTGAAAGTATACAGGAGGTTGTACAAAGACTATATGCAAACACACACCATTTTATATCAGGGACTTGAGCATCCACAGATCTTGCTATCCAAGGGAGGATCTGAAACCAAGCCCCCATGGATACCGAGGGATGACTGTACTGCTTGTTTTCTTGTATGGTGAAGGGTGCAAAATGTTTATAAAAATATTTGGTTAAACTTAAATTTTAACTTATGAATGTAAATTATAAACACAATGCTTATGTTATTATGATTATTTTATATCTAAGAATGTGCTGGTATAGAAGAAGCTATATAATATCACACTGTTAATCCATCCACTCAGCTGTTCAATCACCAGATATATATTGTATGCTTACTTCATGCCAAATTTGGTGCCATATACTGGGAATACAGTAGTAAGCAAGATAAATGCAGTCCTTATGCTCACAGAGATTGTAGGCTGCTGGGGACACTGCTGAGAGGGTTTGGACTTTATTCTAAAGATTATGGAATCCATTGAAGGGTTTTTAATAGGAGAATGATGTGATGAGATTTGAATTTTAGAAATCTATCAGAGAACAGATTGCAGTGGAACAAGATTGAAAGCATAAAGACCAATTCAGAGGCTATTACTATAATTAAGTGACTGATTATGGTGACTTGGGCTTGGTTGGTGGTGGTTAGAAGTGAGATAAATGGGAAAGATGCACAAGGAGATGAGGTTAGCCTTGTGGTTTATTGGATGAGTAGGCGAGGAAGGGCGACACTGAGGTTTCTGCTATGAACACTTGGTTGATGTGGTGATGTCATTTGTGATTGTGGGACTGGGATGTAGAGAAGTTTAGGGTGAAGATGATCAGTAGACTGACACATAATGAATTTAAGGAGCCAGGAAGGCATCCAAGGAAAGAAATTTATTGGGCAATTTAACACATAGACCTGTAGTCAGGAGAGATGTGTGGACTAACGTACAAATTTTGAAGTTGTCAGAGTATAACAATACAATAGAAACCATATAGATAGGTGAACTCTCCAGGGAGAGATGAACTATCTAGATGGAAAATCGAAGAAAATTCCTTTAAATTTTTGTTATGTAAACATACCACAATATTATAGCGGGAGTAAAAACCTGGACTTTTAAAGTCAGATAAACTTGGGCTCCACCACTTACCGGCCATATAACCTCCACAGGTATCTTACTTCTGAGCCTCTGTGTCTACCTCTGCAATGTGACAAATGGTTTATATTGGGTAGCTGGGAGAACAAAATGAAATAGTACATGTGAAAGGATGTAGAATAGCATCTGACACTTAGCAAACACTCAAAAACTAATATTTTTATGTACTAGGGACATTATCATCAACATTATTATAATTACTTATTAATTGCACATTTCAACAAAATGTAACAAAGCTCTAATATAAAAGCACTTTTTCCAGGTCTTAAAGTTAGTTTTTGATGCAAAAAAAAAATCTTGTAAAAATTGTCATGAAAGCTGAGAACTTTGAAAATGTTCTTATTTATGTTACTTCTATAAAAAAAATGTTAAAGATTTTTAAGTGTGAAATCAGATTTTATTAAGCTAAAACATGTTTCTACCCATAAGACGTAAAATTTCATTTTGAAAGAGATTGTGAAGATTGCCACATGAAGGCAATAACTGAAGTTTTCATTCTAAATGTGTCATGATTAGCCTCTAATACAATACATGATATATACGATGACTCTGCGAGCTGAATAAATTATTAAAACAGAACGTCTTCCTCAACTTTCAATCATTTATTATTCTATAGGAAAAGTAGCTCCAGATCCTTGATGATTTTACTTTAATTCCTACCCATTTATGTATGATGTTACATGTTAGTCGTTTAATAAAAATAATTAACCAAAAATATTTTTGTGGTAACGTCCTAGAGTCATCTGTAATTAATTAAAAAAACTTATTCACTTATAAAATATTGAAAAATACTCTGTGTTGATGTTGACCATCATCACCTCATTACCATCCTGTATCCCTTTGTGTTTTGCATTGTTGTCCCTTTTGCATGGAAGATCATCTGCTCTGGATTGCCATGAAATGAATGAGGATGGAGAGCTATGGCTGGTTTATGAAGGGTTAAAACAAGCCAACAGGTTATATTTGTCTCCTCAAGATGGATGTTATTAATTTATTGTGTTTCTTACTAACAGTGGCCTCCTGACTTTAACTCCTTATTTTTTATGCATTAATTGTCTTCCTGAGTAAATTAGCTTCAGTAAAACTTAGAATATTCCAATGCCTTCTTCAAAAATGTTCTCCACTAAGAGATCCTATTAAAACTAAAATTGAATATGAGTTATTCCCCAAAGGGTGGGGGAAAAAAAGAATCATTTCCCATAAGTGAATGATGCTATCTAGACTTTCCTTCAGACACTAATTTGTGAAGATTTCTCTCTAGTTGCTGAAAGAAAAACAAATCTTTCAACTAGGGCACAAACTACTGGGGAAAGACGCATATTTATTACTCAGACAGTGGCTTCTTCTTTAGAATAAGGATCAATCTACAGGATATATGTGCCTGTGGCAGTGTGATTGCATTCTTTTATATTATCATGTTGTCTAAAAGCAAAATTAAATGCATGATTTGGCATTCTGTTTGATCATTGTGTAATTCAGATTTGTGAAACAGCCAATCAGGAAAGTTTCCTGCATTGCTGCAGTTCAGAATAATAACCCAAACTCAACACATTAAGTACATTTAGGGGAAAGAAAATAAAATTGAAACAGCAACACTTTTCTAACACAGACACTCATCTGCCCTAGTAATATTTGTGTCTTAATAATCTCATAAAATTTCATTTTAGGCCAGGCATGGTGGTTCATGTCTATAATCCCAGCATTTTGAGTTTGAAGTGGGAGGATTGCTTGAGCCCAGGAGTTCAAGACCAGCCTGGGCAACATAGTAAAACCTCATCTCTACAAAAAAATCAAAAAATTAGCCAGGTGTGGTGGTGCACACCTATAGTCCCAGCTTCTCGAGAGGCTAGGATAACCTGAGCCCAGGAGGTGGAGGCTGCAGTGATCTGTGATTGTGCTACTGCACTGCAGCCTGGGTGACACAGTGAGACTCTGACTCAAAAGAAAAATTTTTTTTCATTTTAGTGATTAAATTTTTTTTAACTTATATGTTTGTTCAAAGAGCTTCTGCTTCTTCTGCTTTGCTTGTTCTAATCATAAACTATTGTCATTAACCATGAGATGTTACTGGTTCAAATCTTTTTGAAATTTTGTAATCACTAAAATATCTTTAGTCCACTGTTAATAGTTTGCTGGCAATGACATCAGTAAGTTTTACCCAGCAGTTGGTAACCAAGGGGATTGGAATAAAAGAATGTCTTTCCTTTTTTCACATTAGTTAACTCTTAACCATAACCTTGTGTTTGGAAAAGGTTTATGTGTGGAAGTGGAGTGCATGGTTAAGGCAAAGGCTCTGACTCCTGTTCTCACTGCCATGATAGGGTCTGTTCTGTGGCACAGCTGGCCGTGTTTGCTCAGAGAAGCACTAACCTCTTCATTTGGTCTTATAACTATTTATGTCCTGAAACCATGTCTTGCTATGATTCTATTACTAATATGTATATTTATGGGGAGAGAGAAGATGCCAAATCTAAAATATATGTAGGGAATTTCAGAACTATCTGAATGGATTTGAGTAAATCTGTACATATTTCCAAGTAGTACTCCAGCCTTTTTACCTTTCAGAGACAGGAGTAGAATATAAAGATGGGACCCTAGTCCCACCCTCTGCCTGTAATTAGTAACTGTGATTCTTAAAGACACATTTAATTAGATTAGGAGTTTGTAATATTGCCCTTTATAGTGCAGAATTATATTGTGGCAAAGGTGTACTGTCTTTGCCAATTTAAATGTCAGTTTATAAATGCAAGCTAGATTAAAACTATGTCATCTAATTGACTTTTAAAGTCATTATTTCTTATGAACCTTTCAAAAGAGCTTAAACTGTCCCATTTCTTGGACCTCTGAGAACTTTAACCAATCCAGAACAACACAAATGTGGTAGCATTGAGTTTCTTGACTTTAATCAAGTCAGAGGATACATGATGCTAAAGCACTTCTGCTTTTCCTACTCTTGCAAGCAAGCATGAGACCTTGCACCCATCAGGCAGGGACTCTGGGTGTCATCTCCTCTTCCCACCTGTGTGGCTTCTCCACAGGCTCCTGGAATCTCAACTCCAGTCACAGAAGAGGAGCCATGAGAATGAGGCTGAGGCCCTCCGTGGGGAGATCCAGAGCCTGAAGGAGGAGAACAACCGGCAGCAGCAGCTGCTGGCCCAGAACCTGCAGCTGCCCCCAGAGGCCCGCATCGAGGCCAGCCTGCAGCACGAGATCACCCGACTGACTAATGAAAACTTGGTAAGGAGAGGTGCTGGGCCCACAGCTCCTCAGCAGGAGTACCTGGCCCTGCCTAACATCCTATTTTCTTTTTTATCAAACACAGCTTTTTCTTGCAGGGAAAAACTCACCACTCTACACTTGCTACCCTCTATCAGAGATCGAGTAAGGAAAATGTGAATATGTTTGTATAAACAAAAAAGGCACAAGCACAGGTTGTGTTTCTCACAGAAGATTCTTGAGTACCTGTACTCTTAGACCTGACTTGGAGGGTCTAGACAATAGCCCCCAACTACGTGATAGGCTTTTGATAGCCTTGAGGGTCAAATGATCTTCCTCCACTTCACCTGCAGATTCTCTGCCATTCTAGGAGGGTTGTTATGCGACTACCATGACAGAGACTGGGAACAGGCTTTGTTTACCTTTGGTCCCTAAGCAGCTATGCACTCTAACAGACAAGTAGGGGTTAGAGTTGAGGTCAGGGAAGGCAGTCAGCAGAACCAGGCAGGGGGCTTTTGGTTGATGTTGGATGGAATTCCCAAGTCACAGAGGAGGGGTAGTAGGATTCACATTTTCTATTCTTTTAAACAGAACTTGTCCAATAAGGAAATTTTTTTTTCCATTGCTAGGATTCTGAACCCTGGCATGGAGTTCAAGTTTTTTCTTATCCTTTTTTCTTGTTTCTTTCTTTCTTTTTTTTTTTTTTTAACTACATTCTAGAATATTTCTTTCTCAGTTGCATAACTTTTATTGCAGATTTATAGTTTTTTATCTACTTAAGTTTGACAAACAGACTTATTAAGAATTCCTGAAAAGTTGTAGTCTACATTTCTATATAAAATCTATATTATAGTACCAGCATGATTTTGAGAAAAGTTGTTTAGGACTAGTAGTGATTTGTGTCCTTTTTTTAAGTTAAGGCTTTTAATGACCCATAATAAAGTAGTTTGAATTTTCTCTGAAGATTTAACACTCTGAGTCTTCCCTCCATCACTCTATTAGTGATCATTTACATTACACATAGTTTTCCAGTGTCATTTTTTTCAACCATCTTTTATATGAATTAGAAGCAAAAACCAAAGGGACTCTTTTCAGCCCATCTTTCTGCATGAGGCTCTATCAGGGGAATGAGGGAGGAGGGCGAGGGCAGTGTGTGGACTCTTTCCCAAGTGACTGAAATCTCACTAATTTGTGGGGGAAATTTTCTGAATCATAAAATATTTTTGAAATGTCATTTTATTGCTTTCAAGTCATTGTTGCTTAAATTAAATTAACAATGCTTTGATGACTAAGTATGATAAATATACTGAGTAACATAATGATTGATTGATCAGCATACAAATTCTGTGCTTATAAATGATTGTCTTAAAATACAAGGTGAAACCGTGAAATTAAGATGCTTCTGTGTGGCAGATTTCCAGAGTTTTTCCACTAACTTGGCCAAGTATTTCTCCTGAAACTTTGTTTGCAGTATTAATTTTCTTAGCAATTTTTCATAGCTAGTACAAAAATAGACTAAGCCCCCACATTCTAAGTTGGTATAGTTAATGAGTTTGAGTTTGGGGAAATCCCTTTATAGATCAGCTGCTTATCCTTCCATTACACTGACTACGAATTCAGGAGGATAGATTCAAACTAGAGTCCAGGAATGATGGACCTTTTCAAAATCGTTATGGTTCTCAATCTTAATTGTGCATGTCTTTAGAAAACACTTGAGCAGAATATTAAAGCAGGAGGGAATCTGGGCTCAGAGCTCTTGGTAACTCTGCCTTGCATAACGTCCACCCACCTACCTACCGCCAACACAAACATAAAATGATTTTCCCCTCTGCTGGTGACAGTCTCTCAGGCCTCCCCCATGCTTTCAGGGAAGGAAGTCACCCAGCTTCTCGCCAGCTTCTCCAGCATCCTGCAAGAGTGCTTACATTGCCATTATTCTCACTTGTGTTTTATTTGCCTCATCTTCTCTTGCCTTTACTGCAGGCACTTAAAAAGGTGCAGCAACTTGTGAGCATCACGCATTGGGGAGGCTAGGAGGAAAAGGCAGGAGGCTTGAGGCATGAAGGACAGCCACAATGTGGACAGTTGCTGAATGATGGCATCCTGGCCACAGCCTTTTTCCTTTGCTCGTGCAAGAAATACCTGCACATAGATTAGAATTATCTGTACTAAAAAGATAAAAGGGTAATAACAGGTGACAAGTCAGATCCTTTTGAGTATATATATGTGTGTGTGTGTGTGTGTGTGTGTGTGTGTGTATACACACACACACATACATATACATATATGTTTCACTATGTTTTAATATTTTTAAATTGATGTTACTGAGAAGTAGCCTTCCCCTCAAAGACACAGAGAAAAACAAATATCCATTATACCTGTTTTTTCAGTATTTTGAGGAATTATATGCAGATGACCCTAAGAAGTATCAGTCATATCGGATTTCACTTTACAAACGGATGATTGTATGTAAAACCATAGTGCTTTTCCGTTGTCTTCCTTGCTACTTCTAGCCCTCTATAACTGAAGAGCACACTGCTGCCTGCTCTTTCCAAGGAAATATCTTCAAAAACTTTCACAAAATCTGTTTCTCCCCACAGCTGCCTTTTAACCAGTGGTATCATCTCTGCCAGTGTCCCATGTCCACTGTCACGTTTGATTTGTTATTAACACTAGGCTTACAGTGTGATGGAAGCAAAGTGTGATTTGAAAGATCAAATGAAATTCAAGAAGCATACCTTAACGCTTTGAAATGTTAGCAACTATTCCCTTTGAATCATTGGCCTAGTGTCTAAATCTACTCCTGTCTAAATTGGAAAATGTATGAATATTTGTATTTGTACTGCTTGCTTTCTGCATAACCTGAATATCAACCAGAGACATCACTGATTCATATCCTTTCCAAACTCTTTCTGAGCCTGTTCTTGTGTACTCTTTCTTTTTAATTAGTGACTCTTTAACTATGCCTGTTGTTTAAGAGAATTCTTTATTAAACAGAGGACCAATATCACAGACTTTTGACCCTTCCCCTTAAGTGTAATGCTTTTGTTTTATCTTTTCACAAAAAGTATTCATAATTACCCCCTTTTTTCTATGTAAGCAAAATAATGTCACCTCAAGATCTTATAGGCACCTTATACCACCTGTCTCTTTGGTCCTGGGTAAGCAGACTACTCTTTATCCTGTTCTCTGTGATTTTTTTCAACTTATCTTTTAATTCCCAAAACTTAACTCTCCTTATATTTCAGGGCTAATTTTAGCATCTCCACGGAATGGGTTTCATAGAGACAGTGCTTCACACACATGCAGTGTCAGTCCCCACTGAAGTTTAACCATTCTTAAATCTTCCCACAGAACTTTCTGTGCATTCATCAAAATTTATTAGTGCCTAGTCCCCCTTTAAAAGAAAGCATTCCACTGTAATAACAGTACATTTTACAAGCATTCAGTTGTTTCCCCCCATGGAATCTACTAGAAAAGTCTCCACAGTGAGCCTGCTATCCATCACGCTGTACAGGTTTTTACTGCTTTGTATATTTGAACATGTGGCTTTTACTGTAGCTGTATGTCCCATGCCTGCCAGTTTTCGCCAGGTGGTAGCTCCACCAATGAGCTTTTCTGGAGCTTTTATGTAAAACTAACAGTGCCATTTTTGTGATTTTGTGTCTGCTTTCCCTTGGTGCATTTTAGAAGGCCTGTTTTGATCTTCTTGTTATATTTCTCATTTTGATCTTTAGGATTTGATGGAACAACTTGAAAAACAGGATAAGACTGTTCGGAAACTGAAAAAACAACTGAAAGTATTTGCCAAAAAAATTGGTGAACTAGAAGGTATTTAAACATGTTTTTAATGACAGTCACTGAATCTTGGTTTTGTTTTGCTATTTGAATGGCCTAACAGAGGTTTGCATGCAAATATTAGGGATAATAACAAAAAATGACTTTTGACAAACCTGCCCTCTGTGGAGTGGAAGTTTCCATTTCTAGGTGAGCAAAAGTATTTTTTTCATGGTAATAATAATTTATAAAGGAAGAGAATTCATTCAGCAGTCATCTAATGAATATCTTCTATATGCCAGGCACTGTTTTAGGCAGTATAGCATAGAGGTTGAGTGTGGTTCTGGAGTCAGGCTCCTGGGGTTCAAATGCCAGCTCTTCCACTTATTAATCATATACCTCAGTTTTTCCACCTGTTAAATGGGAATAATAATGGCATCTCTGTGACATGGTTATAAGGTTGATGAGTTAATATGTGTAATATACTTCAAAGAGTTTCTGATACATAGTAAATGCTATATATAACTTAGTTATTAATATTACTATTCTTCTTAGTATTAGGGATACTAAGATGAGTAAGACAGAATCTCTTGTCCTCAAAAAACTTATAGTCTTATGGAGAAAAAAGAGAAGTAGATAAGAAAAATATGAATTATTATTATAAATAAATGAGATTTTTTTAAAAACATAATTTCTATATGATGATGGGAAAACTTCTTAGGAAATAATCAAATATCAGTTGTTATTATATACAAATGAATCTTGTATATTAATGTGTTTGTTTATTCACAGTTGTAGGTGCAGGGATCTAGCGGTGAACAGGACTAGAGCCAAATTCTAAGCTTATTCTAGCAACCCTGTCACTACTCAAGAGGTTTTATAGATACTCTTTGGAATTGCCTTCACATCGATGCAAATTGTTATCATTTTGACTAAAAATGATACTACTCAGCCTGACTACCCATCTTATTTCTCAGTGTCCCTCTATATGACTCTTGCTTGACTCAAAGAGTGAAGATTCCCCATCATGGGAGATGTTCATCACTGGGGAGTCTATCATGATTAACTCTAAGTGGAGGAATAGTTTTCATTCCTCCAACATGCCAGGTCTTGTCATAAGTGTTCCTTTTGTCCTTCTTAGCCTTTGAGACCAGATTCCTATGTCACATCCTTAAGAGCAGCTTTTCCTGATCATCCAGATAGGTCTTATGACTCTGCCATCTGTGAACCACAATTTGGGTCACATCTTTTGTGGTTTTTACCATCATATTTATAGCAATTTTTCTGTTTGAATTACTGGCTTCCATAACAGACTAGGAGCTTTTTGAGTAGAGGAACCACCTCTTATTTCCCTTTGCTTTCACAGCAAATTTATCATATTCATTCTATAAATGTTTGAGTGAATAAATAAGTTTTAGAAATATTTAGAACACGGCAACATGGATATTTACTTTGAAGAGGATATCACTCCCTTGAATATACAAATACTGAAGTACTTGTTTAAAAACCAGAAAGATGGCCATTGTTCTGTTAAACTCTGGTGTGTCCACATTGCTCTTTGAGCTATGCCCACCATGTTTCCTAGCTTTGGCCCCTTCCCCTACTTTGGGGAATGAATCTCCTCTCCCTCTCTCCCTCTCCCTAATTTACTTTCAAAATAAACTATATTTTCTAATCTAAAAAAAAAGGAAAAAACCAGAAGGATTACTTTGTAGTCATATTTTATATATAATCCTTTGGCGTTATATAATTCATGTGTTACATTAAAACTTTTGAATGTCCAAATCACATTATAGCCCATTATAGCATGGGCTATAATGTCTATTGGCAGAACTTAAAAGTCTTTATTCAGAGATCTTTCTCCATTTAACTCTGCACTAATTATATTATGAGATGATAATCAGACAGCAGAGTATTTGCTTGAAAGAAATTGATTTTTTGGGTCAAATTCCTAATATTCCTTTGCCATACTTTAAATTTTGATAAATAGGAGAGCCATTCATTATTTTACATTTTTAATCATCTTTCTTTGATAAACATATTTTTAAATTGAGGAGACAGGTTAGAATATTCTAAGATATTGCTAATTTTAAACCTATCAATCAGAATTCAACTTCATCAGTTAAACTATCCTGACAGCTATCAAACTATAAGTAGCATGTGGTCAAATAAAAAATACATTATAATAGTTCTTAAGAAAGCTTACATTTTGAGTGATACATATCTAGAAGATAAAATGAAATAGATTTCTGTGACTTGGGTGCTTGCTGAGTGCAGTATTCCTTGCTTCTCCTCCAAATTAGTGAGTAAAAGTAAAAAGCTCTTTTAACACTTTTCTCTTCATCCCTTATATCCCTGTTATACAAAAAATACCTGAAATTTTATACAACAAAGTACCTTCTAATAACTAAGAGTTTTCTTATACTTTTTGATAAAAGATATTGCAACACACTTAAATCCTTTTGGTTTAAAATTGCACAACTCTTGCCTCCTCCTATGGGCTACATTTAATTAAGAAAACTTTTTTAGAAGCCAACAAAGACTTTTTTTTTAAATGCCAACATATATAATTTTTTTGCAGAAATCATATAGCTAAATGAAGTGTTTCAAGATTTGATCTTCTTTGCGCTATATTTTAATCCAGGAGTGGGTGTTCCATGTGAATTTTCATAGAATCAAGAAATTTAGACCTGAAAAGATTCTAGAAATCAGTTGATTATTTCAAAAGAGAAAAAAACTAAGGTTCAAAAAGTATAAATTACTTACCCAAGTTAGATGAGAGGACTAGAGGCCAGGTGTTCTTAGGGCCACTGATTTCACTTCTTTGTGCCATATTTTCGCATAGAATTTTTCTCCTTAGTAGGAATTTATTTGGCTGTCTTAATTAAATCTGAGATCAAGATCTTCCTGGTGCCAATGTGAAGAAAAGTAATTTTTAAAAATTTTTTCCAATTTCCTTTCCTTTTCCAGGACAAAAGGGTTCAGGAATATTTTTTTTCAAGTTTGTAAAGAATCTAGAAAAGGGGCTGGGTGCAGTGGCTCACACTTGTAATCCCAGCATGTTTGGAAGGCCAAGGTGAGAGGGTTGCTTGAGACCAGGAGTTTGAGAATAGCCTGGGCAGCATAGCAAGACCTCGTCTCCAGAAAAAAATAAAATAAAAAGAACCTAGAAGATGAAAATAGAGTCTTGCTTTGGGTCTTTCCAGAATGTTGTCTGTGTTAGATGGAGCATTGGGCTGTCTCAGTTCATTTGTGCTGCTGTAACAAAATGCCTGAGACTGGGAAATTTATAAAGAACATACATTTATTTCTCACAGTTCTGGAGGAAGGAAGGCAAAAATCAAGAGGCCAGCAGGTTCGGAGGGCCTAATCTTTGCTTCCAAGGAGGTACCTTGTTGCTGTATCCTCTGAAGGGGACAAACACTGTGTCCTCATGTGATAGAAGGTAGAGGAGCAAAAGACCTAGTTCCCTCTAGCCCCTTTATAAAGTCGATAATGTAATGCATGGGGATAGAGCCCTCATGACCTAATCACCTCCTAAAGGCCTCACCTCTTAATACTATTGCTATAGGGATTAAGTTTCAGCATGAATCTTGGAAGGGACACAAGCATTCAAATCATTGCAACTGCCAAGATCTCTTGAATATTTGAAAACTAGGAAGGTGTCCTGGCTTATGTCTTTCAGGTACTATTCATGATGCTGCATAAAGGTTGACATTTTATTTTTAGTAATAGATAATATTGTGAAACAAATCAAGGTTATGTTGAGCTAATGTCTATATTTCACTTATAAGCTTTTGTAAAGACTTACGTCCCTAGGGAGATTTCAAAAGAGAGAAAAACTTAGTGATATTATAGCAAATTTTGTCTGACATTTTGATACAGAACCAAAAATATCCTGGTCAGAGATTTTGCAAAAGGAAAGCAAAGCTTTGTTTTAAAACATAAACTTTCTTAGTAAAAATAATCACCATATTTCATAAATTCTGAGGTGCACAATATTTCACATTTTAATCTCTCTGAAATTGGGGATGTCTTAAAGTTGTTGATGGGTTATAGTTTAATCAGCAGTGTTTTTTTCTTTTTTAATGTTATATGAAATGGTGTAGCTCATAATCAATGGCATCTCAGAACTGATAAAATCAGCAGGGTTAAAACATGTTCTTTGTGTTACATGGAATCCAAACATGTGCATTTATTGATGAACCTAATATGTTGAACTTGTTTCCTTCAGTTTCCCTTTTTGGAATTATCTCTGTGGCTTTTAAGTTTTTAGAAACATAGGTGGCAGGAATTTTCTTATTTTGATTTCTACATACAACAGCAGTTTCACGAGCTGTAGAGGCCACTCTGCTACTTCAGAGCGCCTTGTGGCTTTGTGTTTAAACTGATTCCAGAAATAATTTATGTAAAGCTAAACAGTTTGAGTCTCCTCTTCTCTTGTATAGTGGAATACATTTTACAATCAGTCCTGTGGTTTTCAGACTGCATTATGCATTGAAGCACCAGGTCATGGGAGATGTCTGTCGCCCTGATCTGTCTATTCGCAATCTGACCACTCTTTAGATATCATAGTGTTGCTGGACGGTGGTGACTTTACCTAAACCAGATTTTCAGCGCAGATAGTTCCAGCGTGTGATGCTGCAACATGAGGTGGATGGTGTGTCACCAGGCTCCATGCCTCATAAGCAAGAGCACTGGCAGGTACTGACGTTCTCTGTGATAACCTCTTCCTGTGGAACTGGCTTCTCAGAACTAACCAGGAAATTGCCCAGAGTGACACAAGAAGCAGTACTGATACCTCCTGGAGCAGATTAAACTTTCTAATGTTTTTGCGTCTGGTCTGCATTTTGTTTGCAAAATTTGGTCGCAATCTCAGAACTCCAACTTAATCTGCGCTTGAACAGATTTTTTAACTGCTTCCCCTGCCTTCCTGTAGATAAAAGGATAAAAACCCTGGTTAACTTATATATCGCCTTACCTTTCCTTGCATTTCCCACTCAATTCCAATTTTAAGATGAAATTGGAAACCTTTTTTTTTTTACCTTTAGCATAATTCTTCTCTAACTGCTGCCACTGACAATAGTGACCATTTTTAACATTTGAAAATGTTGTTATTCAATCAGTGATTGCACTTTAATGGTTGCAACTTCATGGTAGAATTTTTTTAAAGAAACAAAAAACAATATTTAGGAAATCATATTAAATAGAGGTATCTTATCTGCTCATTATTTCTCTGGGAATGAGGCATAGCAGGAGAAAGTTAGATCTTTGCCTTATGAGGCCTTTGAAAAAGATAAAACATTTTCATACCAACTAATATGAAGAAATACTATCTTACCCAGATATCTTGATATGGTTTGAGCTGATTGTAATAATGCATTAAGTAAATGTTCTTTTGTGTTTAATGATGAGATTCACAGAGCTAAAGGTGAGGGGGAGTCTTTTATGTTATTGCTATCTCTTTATAGAATATTGGGTTTTCTTCCATGAATTAAAGTCCAAATATATTTAACCACTTCTAATTGATATCAATTAGCTAACAAATATGTTAAGCTACTTACTTTTGGGACATTTAATTTTACTACAAAGTAAACCTTATTATACAGAAAACTTAAAGGTTTTGCATCAGGTAAGGTTATTTTATGTTAATGGTAATCAGGCACTAGTGGCTGTTATAGTAGTATTACCATATAATTTTGCCATCTATCCACCCAATTTTAGCAAAAAGTATATATATTTTAAGAAGAGGCAGTTAAGTGGCAAATAAGACAAGTTTCTGTTGTTGCAGAGTTCATTCAAAGTTATAGGAGCATGGAACACTCTTATCTTTTCTATCTGGAAAACATTTTTTCTCCTTTCTTGCTTCTCATGAAGTGGGCCAGATGGAGAACATATCTCCAGGACAGATCATTGATGAACCCATCCGTCCAGTCAACATCCCCAGGAAAGAAAAGGATTTCCAAGGAATGCTGGAATACAAAAAGGAAGATGAGCAAAAACTTGTTAAGAACCTGATTCTGGGCAAGTATTTTCTGCATGGGATAAAAGGTCTTTCTGATACATGTGTCAATGGTGGGAAAAACTAGTCACTAATTTTTTGAAATATTCAATACCAATTTCTTGTCCTTTCTACATACTGTGTATTCTAGTGCTGCAGTTAAAATCCTGACCACCCCAAGCTTCATCACAATGCAAGGGCATGTGCCTCCGGCATACTTATAAGGATCCCTCAAGGCCAGGACTTCTCAGCCCTTGGCAGTTAAATCAGAATCTCTAGGGAGAAGAGTCTGGCATGTCTAGTTGTTTTTTAAAAAAAACCTCAAGGGATTCTCAAGTGTTAACACAGGTTAACTCTACTGCTCTAGGCCATTTAGGTTCCTGAATTTCTGTTTTTCCTTACTTCCCTGAAAGTTTTACAACTAAATAGGTCAAGGACATTAGTTCCTTAACAGGGAAAGAATAAAAAAATCAAGGAAAAGATTCTAACAAAGGAAGGAGCGGACAGGACAAATGAGATAGGAGTGGAAGAAGCACTTCGGAGCAGCATAACGCCTTTGAGAACAGGTGCGAGCCCACTGACTCTGCAAGAAGACTTTTTAGGGGATGCTGGTAGAGGACTAGAAAATGCACACACCATCAGTTGTGAACTGAAAAATCTAAAGCCTTTCCTTTCAGCCTTTGCATAGTATTCCTCTCCTCGGGTGCCAGTGCGACAGGA